ATTCTGCAAATTTTGTGTCTTAAAATTATGCATGTGATTCTGCTGGGAGAGATCAACTGCCTCCCATTGCTCATGATCTCAGCAGAGGACAGGAACCACTCAGCTTTCAGTCATATTTGCCCTATACTGTGCTTTAGGAGTGTGTTAACCAGAAGGCTTCAAAGTGGCTCAGATTCTCAGAAGGTTTTCTAGAAACACCCAGTCCTAATAATCAGCATGAAACCCTTACTTGAAGTTCTCTGTGAACATGTAGAGTTGTGTACCTGCCTGTTCTGCTTTGCTTGCTGTAGTATTTTAATTAAGGGCCACTGTTTGAAGCAACAGCGTAATGTTATATGGTGGGTGGTTTAGGTTAGGAATGGAGACAGTACCTTGGAATATACCTTCTTTTTTAAATATTGGAAAGTGAAGGATGATCTTCAATAATGCAGGTTCTTACTTACGTAGTACTGATCCTCTGTTGATGGTTTTCTGCTTGGCTGCATGTTAAATGACGCATGCTTTTTCTCATGGAGCTGTGACAATACAGACACTTTTATAAGTCCAGATGGAGCATGCCAACATGGTAATTGTGTCAAAGCCACATGCTTGTCTAATGGGCTGGCTGTTCACAGCAGCATTCCTTTTGGTTGATGATAAGTACAAAGGTCTTAGTATGTTATATAACTATACCAATGATGGATCTTAGGTAATTGTAATTAAAGATTAGTACATTGAGCATTGCTATAGTTTGGGAAACCTTAGTTCTGGTTTTGGCTTTGCCTATCTAACTTTGTTATCTTAGGCAAATTTCCTAGTCTTTCTAGTCTGTGTCCTTGCTGATAAAATGAGGATATTAGAGTAGATAATTTAATAACACTCATTCAGTAAGTAATTATTGGCCACAGTCACAGTTACTTTTCTCTCATTGCTGAGACAAAATACCTGACACCCAAAGTTAGGGAAGGAAAGGTTTATTTAGCTCACAGTTTGTGGAGGTTTCAGCCCGTAATCAGTTGGCTCCAGGGCAGAGTGGTGTGGCACAGGGGCAATAGGTCATGGTGGCAGCAGACAGCAAAAGAATAAGAGCAAAAGTGGAAAGCAAACCTCTTTTCCTCCCTTATATTGTATGCAGGCTACCTGCCCACACCATCTCCTTGTCCTCTTCTACCAGCTCAGGATGAGGACCCTGGCCCCGCTGCTGAGTCACTTAGTTAAGCTTCTGAACTTCTCAGTTGTCTAGTTGATACAATGGATCAACCATTACCGTCACCTTTTATATGCCAGTTCAGATCTTTAAAAAAAAAAAGAAAAATCTCAGCCCTATTCGGGCTTCATTTTAGTGAGAATGCCTGCTTTCCCTGCAGGACTTTCCATTTTCAGGGTGGTAGAATTTAATGGCATATCTGAGATGCTAGGAGTTGTAGGTGTAATAATTATAGAGACTGGATGTGCTCCAGTCATATTTTGGTGGTTATTTTTTCAAGAAAGAATTTTATCAATAAGGGAGATAGTGTTTGGTTTTGAGCTCTTCGATATGCTTATTTACATATAATTGTATCCCCACTTATTGCTGAGTATTCATAATCCAGCTAGCCACTTCCATTGTTTTCTATCTTAAAACTTCCATTTGGATGGGCAACTCCAATCAGCCCTGAGGTTCTCAAAACTTAAACATGTTGTGTACCCACAGGAGACTGGTGAGGACAACTTTGTGAGGTTCAGTTGTATGGTTTATCTTTGTGTCTTATGTCTGTATTACTACTTTGTCTTCAATTCCTGTACATCAGCTTAGTTGTAATTAAATGGCCATGTAATAATTTTACAGTGCAATTTTCTCTGTGATAATCTATTTGTAAATTTCTTATTTTGATGGAAAACGGCTATGAAGTTCTTTTCACAGTTGGCCTGAATCTTCTGTGAAGAACAGACCAAGGGCTCTGTGGTTACTTAAATCACTCATGCATATGGAATTAGGATTACATTATGAAGTTTGTGTGAGGAGATGTGTACACATCTGTTGGTCATCCATTTAGTGGCCATCCACAAGTCACTTACATTCCATTTGTTATTTATGAAAGGAAAGTGGTATCTTGTAGATGTTTTGAGGAATAGAAATTATGTGCATGATGTCTAATTTTAGTGAACTGTGAATCTTGACTCCAGTGACTAAAATGTAACACAATAATGGAAACTTCAGTTTTTATATTTAATTGCTTATAAAATATTTTGAATCCCAAAGCAACTTTTATTTATTGGTCCCCGGACTATTTCTCACAACCAGAACAATTAGAGAGCTGCCACTTTATGTTCACTAGCTTGGACAAAGTTGGATCATTTTTGTTTTAAATTTACCAGGATATTTATTCAGCTCTCAGAATATAGTTAGAGAATATATGCTAAAAATCAACTTTGGTCATTTCATGCCTAATGTACATATTCTCTCCTTAAATGGCAAAATGACATGTTAAGTAAAGATTTTTCTCTGTGATATGGGTCTAATTTAAGCATCCTGTTGGAAGACATGATTTTGAATTTTAAATGCCTAGGAGTGGAAAGTAACATTGGACATGTGGGTATAATCGGTGCCTGTTCCCTTTTGTGGCATTACCCTCAAGCTCATACCTTTTCCCGATCTTCCCATCCCTCTCCATTGCTTCTGGCCCTTACCCTTCTCCTTTGCCTGTTCCTTGCATGTTGGCAGTGATGAGGGTTCTTTTCGGGATGAACCAACACCATTTCTCCATGCTTGCAGCTGTCCACCCGTATTACCATAACTCTCCTGTGATTTCTTGAATGTACCTCCAACTTCCTCAAAACTTGTGTGTCTGGTCACTTACTAGATCTCTCCAGAGACTTCACAATTGCAGTGAATTCAAAATCAATTTAAATGTCTCAGCCAGGCCCCCTCTTTCTGGGGTGCCCTTTTTCTGTGGGTAGTTCTACTATTCCCCTAGTCTCCTGTGACTTGGGTTCCCACCCATCTTTTGCTCTCTTTTTCTTTCTGTATTCAGCCTAGACCCTGAGTCGTGTTCAGTCTACATTTTTCACCATGAGGTTCAATTCTTACCCTGTACTCTCTGCTTCATCAGTAGTGCAGAATCATGTCTGGATTACTGATTGCAATAATCTCCCAGTTGTGTTTTATTTTAGTCCTTTCTCTCACCCTATGCTGTATACCAAGTTCTGGCTGTCTGAAGTGAAAATTTTGATTACATTCCTCCTCACATTAAAGTGCTTGGGTGATATCACATTGCTGCCAAAATAGCTTCTAGAGCCTTCTAGACTTCGAGATTTGCCTATAGGGGAACGTGTGGCAGTGCTTCATTCTTTTCTTTGACTGAATAGTATTCTACTGTTTTACATACCACATTTTATCCATTCATCAGTTGGTAGGCATCTTTTGGTTATTATGAGTCATGCTATTATGGAGAAATGTCCATTCAAAACCTTTACCCATTTTTAAGGTTGGGTCCTACTTTTTTTTGTTGTTGAGCTATAAGAATTCTTTGTGTATTCTGGAAATAGACTGTTGTTAGATATATGCTTTTCAGATGTGAATTGAACAAATGTAGTATTAATACATGCTACAACATGGATGAACTGAAAACATTATGCTAAGTGAAAGTGGCGTGCGTTGCATGATTCAGTTGATTTGAAGTGTCCCAAACAGGTTAAATCCATACAGATTGAAAGTAGAATATTGGTTGTTAGAGGCTGAAAGGAGGGAGGAACTGGATGACTACCAAAGTCTACAGGATCTCTTTTTGGAATGAAGAAAATGTTCTAGAATTAGTGGTGATGTTGCATAGTCTTATAAATCTACAGTACTCAAAACCACATTTTTATACTTAAAAATAAATTTTATAATATGCAAAATTATATCTTGTCTGCTTTAAAATAAATGTATATTAGTCCCCCCCCATACTAGGAATTGAACTCATGACCTTGCGCTTGCTAGGCAGACGCTGTGCCGCTGAGCTAAATCCCCAGTCCCTTATATTAGTTTTTTTTAAAGCCCACTCAATTTGTACCACTTTAAAACATAGCTGTGCTATTGCATCTTGGCCGAGGTGGGTGCCAGGGCTTCGAACGTTTACATCATGAGCCAGAGAGGAGAGGGGTGTGATCTCCTGTTGCCGTGGGGCCCTGCCTGCTTTCCTTTTTCTTGGTGGTGCTGCTACACTTGATAAGTCCCTCCTTTTGTGTGTAAATTTATACAATCAGTTATTTTTAAATTTAAGTTTTATTTTCATTACGCATGATAGGATCAATCATGAAGTGTATTTTTCACCATAATATCTTTATTTGGTTTGAATTTGGGCCTTTAGATATTTTTCTTACAGTCATATGCGCAAAGGAAAGTATGTTTGAGGTTGGCAAAATGGTTTGTAATTTCTATTTTTGACAGTTTTTCTCAGAAAGTTAATTTTTGCCTTAAAATAGTGATAGTGATTATAGGATTCAATATTGGAATGCACAACAATAATTTTTGTTTTAAATTTAATTTTCTTGCTATTAAGCACCCAGGATTTACTTTGTGTAATACTTAGCATTTTTGTAGATTTTGATTATAATGTGCAAAATTGTAGTGCAGTGTTTCTTGGTACTTTTCTAACATTATTGGCAATGTTTTCTTATTACAGAATAAAGACTACCAAGTACAGAGAAAAGTAATTTTCTTTTAAAAAGTAGATTTTAAGAGGTTATTTATTATCTGTAACTAGTTGAAACCAAATAAAAGTAATCACCCTTTTCTCATGGTTTGGTCAGTTTAAGTTCTAGCGTCAGATAGTGCTATTGTGATGTTAGTTTTGGTTCTGTGATTCTGATTGGGAATTCTCAAAGTTAAGAGAGTGGTCTCCATGTTCTCTAGTGCTTATGAACCTTCTTTCTCAACCTGTTTTCTCCCTTTGATCTCTGCCATTCCTTTCCCCACCCTGCCTTACTTTTTCCTTTTTCTTGCCACCAGACTTAGAAGAGTTAGTAAAGTAGCATCTCTTGGTTTTGTTTTGTTACAGTGTAAGCTGTTACCATGACTACTGAAGTTGGCTCCACATCTGAAGTGAAGAAGGACTCTGACCAATTGGGAGCAGGTGCAGCCAAGGAGAAAGCTAAAGAGGCAGCAGAAAATCAGCAGAATCAGTCATCCAGTCAAGAGGAAGAAAAAGGCTCCCAGCCATCTCCTGCAGCTGAAAGCCAAAGTAGTCTCCGCCGCCAGAAGCGAGAGAAGGATCCATCTGAGAGTAGAGGGATTTCTCGCTTCATACCCCCATGGCTTAAGAAACAGAAGTCCTATAACTTAGTGGTGGCCAAAGATGGAGAAGCTAAAAAAGAGCCTCCCCAAGGTGCTGTGGAAGAACAAGTCTTAGACAAAGAGGACTCCCTTCCTGAAGAAGAGAGACGGGCCAAGGGTGATACTGAAGAAGCCGCCCAGAGGACACCCCTGGAGGTGAAGGTGGACGTCCGAGAAGACAAGCCTGTAGTGGGCAGTGCCGAGACTCAGGTGTGTTTGAGAGCAACTGTATGGGCATGAGAACAACCGTACAAGGAGAAGGCTCTGTTTGGATCATTTCCAGATTTCCTCTATTGAGATAACTGTTTTGGCTTAATGCATCTGGAATATAGTTCTTGGATTGGTGTACCTCAGGCTTCTCCTGTCATTCCTCTAAAAATATATTTCCAAAATAATAAAAAAATGTACTATATATACAAACCACATATTAAGAAGTTTCTAAGGGTTCCTATTAAGGTTCAGTGTATACTCTGAGACTGTTGGCCCATTTCATTTTAAAAAGGAGGCTTTTTTATGTTTCTTCAGTTTATTTAAGTATTCAGTGAGCAGTAAGTAGTAGATTGTATGCATTTTTGGTTGCTTAGTGAAGTGTAGGTTTTGCCATGGTGTGAGATTTTAGTTAAAAATTCTATTTGAATGCTGCTGAAATTGTAGTTAGGGGATGTAGTGTCTTTTATTCATTTAGTGCTAAAATAACCAACTTGGCAAAATGAAAAAGTTGGTAATAGAAGAGAAGATGAGGGGAGATATCCTTACTGGTATAATTTTCAAGTGTTTTAAAATCTTAAGCTTTTCAATCAATACTTACTGAAGATTTTCCTTTCAGTTGTCTTCCGCAAACTGGTTAATTTTAGCACTGTTTTTCCTTGACAGCCTGCTGAAAAAGTAAGGAAGGAGAGAGAAGAGGAGAAGGTTACGGAAACACAGGAAGACAAATCAGGAGAAGCAGCAAACAGGGAGACCAAGGAAGTGCAGACCAATGAGCTGAAAGCAGAGAATGCCTCTCAGAGAGCCAGCAAGAAGACCAAAACTGTTCAGTGTAAAGTGGCCCTCCTGGACGGCGCCGAGTACAGCTGTGACCTGGAGGTGAGATGCGGCCGGCAGAGAGCTGGCTCCATGTCTGGGATGAAAGCCCGCGCCCCCCGCGCCGTCTCTCGCTGTTGGCGGTTGGCGGGCGTAATGCGTACTCTTTAGTGTTTACGAAGTTCCTGTGTGCTAGCTTGTTGCAATTTTGCATTGAAAACAACAACTTAGAAGAGCGTTCCTATTTTCATTACAAACAGTGCTTCCTGACCCTTTTACGTGTGCCGCAGGGATGCTGTTCTGTCAGTGTGCTTGCTGCTCACGCGTGCTGGTTTATGTCTGTTCTGAATGAGCATTAAACGACTGGAGTACTGCCTCTGACTATAAGATGTTTTAACTCAGGACACATGATAATTCTAGGTTGACCTTTCAGAATAGTGAAATTTCAGTGGTAGACTTACCTGAGAGAGTAACTTAACATCTCTTTCTTTTATTTAGTTTTATGTAGTTAAAAAACACCTATGATTGCTGAAACAGATAATTCATGTGCTGTGATGCTGACAGAAGCCAGTGTAATGTTTTAAAGCAGCCAGCATCTTATAATTGTGTGTCAATTAGAATTTGTTGCTTTTCACAATTAAATTATGTTACTTAAGTGACATACAGTAGTAGTAAACGTTTACTGAAGTATGTAAAGGGCTTTGAATGGATTACCTCATTTAATACTTATAAGATTGTCTTTAAGGTGTTTATTATTATTGGTGTTCCTAGTGTTACAGTGGAGACGAAAGGCTCAGAGACGTGAAATAACCTGCCTAGAGTTTCACAGCTGTTGGGAGGAGCCCCGCTTCCAGCCTTGGCAAGTTAATTGTAGCACCGGGAATCTCTCCCTCTGACCAGTTCTATTTGCCTCTCCTGGGATGTATCTTTCCCATTTAAAATAAGAGCCGGTCTTTTCTTTAGTTTTCTGTTAAGCATTTAAACACATTTCCCCCTTAATTCCTTGTATTCTTACTTAAAATAGAAGTTAAACTTTAAACAACAGTGAAAGCATCCAGCTTGGTAAAGACAAGTCTATCAACTTGCACTGTAGTTTGTTTTATATTTGAATACATACTGTATTGCAGGGTGTTGAGGGTACTAAAATAAATATAATTTATGGTCCTTACCTTTATCTTTTTTATTAGCTGTTGAGGACTTAGGTGTAATTGCTCTATTTCAGTTGTTTAAAGAAAAGGAGTAGCAAAAAAAGGAGTCAAAATCCTTCTCTTTGTTTATTCACGAGGCTGTGGCAACACACCTTAGACTTGGTAATTTACAAACACTAGAAATTTATTGCTCCGAGTTTTGGAGACTGGAAGTCCAGAATCAAGGCGTGAGCAGGTGTGCAGCTGGTGAGAAGCTGCTGGCTGCTTTTGCTTCTGAGATGGAACCATTTTGCTCTGTGCTCATGTGGTAGAAGGGGCCCAAGCTGGATCCTCACAGGGTGAAAAGGACCAGACAGCTCCCTTCAGTCCCTTCTTGAGGCCCCAGTCCTGTTCCTGAGCGTGCACCCCTCCCAGCTTGCTTCCTGCAGGCCCGTTTTCAGTACCAACACAGGAGGGGTAGGGTGTGCCATGAATTTCGAAGGGACTTGTAGCAGAGAATGCCTCTCAGAAAGCCAGCAAGCCTGTCTTTCCTTCTTCTGGTCTTCCCAACACTCCCCTCATACTTTTCCAAAACTTGCCACCCTTCTCAGAGAGGGCCTGAAAGAGGGCGGCAGGTTAGAGAAAGACACTGACTGTGACTTGGTTTGGGGGACATGAGGAAAGTACTCAAGTTGTTAATTACATGGTATTTGACCCGATGTCCCTGGCCTTTTCTCTCAGTCTTTGAGAACCAACTTGATAGCTTGTTTGGGGACCTTGAGTCCATTGTTCTACCTCTGGGGGCCTACTTTTCTTCATTTTTAAAATACAGGATTCTTCAGATGATGTAGAATGCCCCTTTCATCTCTGAAGTTCTTTATATCCCTAAACCACAAGGCTGAATAATGTACTTAATGGTATAAATCTGTTTTTGTTCTCTTACCTTTTTTTTAAGTGATGAAAAATTTAAAAGCTATAGAAAAATAGACAATTGAACATCTACCATAAAAATTTGAATCAACTATTACCATTTTGCCACCTGTTTTAGTTTGTTGATTGATTGGTTGGTGGTACTGGAGATTGAACTCAGGGCCTTTGCCCTAAGCTACATCCACACCCCATTCTAAAAATGTTTTGAGACAAGGTCTCACCAAGTCACTACATTGCTCGGGCTGGGCTTGTGTGCTGGTCCTCCTGTTTTAGTCTCCCAGAGTGCTGGGATTACAGGTGTGAGCCACCATGCCCGACTCTTTTTTACCTTTTAATAACAAAACTAATATTAAAGGCATTTCTAAAATCTCATTCAGTCTTTTCATTCTTGGTCTTTTTTTATTTTAAAGGGAATAAAAACTTTAAAAATGCCATTAAAAAATGATACAGAGCTGGGTGTGGTGGCGCACACCTGTAATCCCAGCACTCGGGAGGCTGAGGCAGGAAGATCTGTGCTGAGTTCAAGACCAGCCTAGGCAACAAAGTGAGCTCAAGGCCAGCCTGAACTGCATAGTGAGACCCTGTCTCAAAAAGGCAAAAAACAAAATAAAAATGATACAGAATTTCAAAACAAGATGATAAGAAATCACTAATGTGGGGCTGGGGATTTAGCTCAGCGGCACAGCGCCTGCCTGGCAAGTGCAAGGTCGTGAGTTCGGTTCCCGGTACCGGAGAAAAACCAAAAAAAAAAAGAAATCACTAATGTTTGTCATATTGCATATTGTTATCGTCAAAATAGTTGTTCCTATTAGCAGATATAGGCATGCAAGATCAAAAAAATTAAGCATTAATTCCTTTTAATAAACCAATAGAAATTAGTAGTACAGTTATCTTAGCTATCTTGTGTATATATGTGTGTGTGTGTGTGTGTGTGTGTGTGTGTGTATATAATTTCCCTGCCTTTGTTTTTTCCTTTCCCTTATCCCAGTGGTTCTTTCCTTCTGAGCAGTTTCTGTCCCTTCATTCTTCGTCTTAAAAGTGTAAATCTACTTGATTCTTCTTAACTACTGTATCGTATTCATTGAAATGACTAAATCAGTATATTCATTTCCCTAGTAGGTTACGCTTTCTTTATATGTAATTTTAAAAGTTCTTCTTCGATGTAATTCTTACTTTTTATTCTCTTTAAAATAACAGTAGTTTTCTAATTTTTGGACTTTTTGGATCATTGTCAAGTAGGGGCCACTAGATTATACTGCAGGAGCAAAGAACCTCTGAATCCTCTTGACTTACAATGTGGTTCATTTGTTGCTTATGTTATATGTATTTGGGAGGTTGACTGTGACTGTGTTCTACATCATCTTCACTTCTGGTTCTAGCTTGAAAGAGCTGTGTCTAGTTGGGACATTCACATCTCAAGAGAGAGAAAAGGAAAACTTGGTGCATAGTCTAGGTGCATTTTCTGCTTGGAAGTGATATGTGTCTCTTTAACTTTCTTCCCATTGGCCAGGCCGTTCAAGTGGCCAAGGCCGAGGATGACACCATGTTTCTCATAAGAAGAAGGTGGGAAATCATTGAGACCATGGAAATGGAATGTGATTTACACAAGATGAGTCTGAGAGTCTTTTTATGTTTTAGTTTTCTAGAGTTGCTTATTATTTCTATTTTATTATTTTTTGCTGTAAGGATTTTGAAAATAGATATTTCTTCTCAGATTAAGGCGGTTTCTTTCCTAGTTTCTCAGACTTCATGGAATGGTGGTGAATTTAATTCTGTATTTTCTGTTTCAACTGAATCATGTGTTTTCCATTCTATTATTTACATAGTTAATTATTAGTATTTTCTGAAGTTAAGTCATCTCAATTTCTAATGTAAACTGCCAGTTGACCATGATGAGTCTGCATTCATTTTGCAGTTTTTTTATGTAGGATTTTTATGTACTTTAATTGTAATAGTTGTTTTAATCAGATTTTGTTACCTGGGTTATATACAGTCCTCATAAAGTTGCTTCCCTCTCATGATTTTCTAAAAAAGCTTTGATAAGTGAGGGATTCTCTATCTGTTTTTTGTAGATTTGGTGCAACTTACCATTGAAACTGTCTTGGGGGGCATTTAAAGAATTTGGGGGATGGAGGATTTTTTGTTTATATTATTGATCCAGTTTTCCTTACACTTATGATTTGTTTCTGTTTTTTTCTTGAATCAGTTTTAGTAATTGATGTTTTTGAGGCAGATTGTCCGTTTCATCTAATGGGACAAATCAGCATGACGCTTGTCATAGTATTCTCATTTTGTGTATTCAGTTTGGACTCCTTTCTCGCTTCTAGTGTTACGTGCCTTTTTTCTTGATTATTCTTGCTGTAGATTTACTGATTTAATTTTTTTCAAAGTAACAGTTTGATTTTCTTTCTGTTGTATCTTTTCTGTTTTGTAACATTTTGTTTCCATTTAATCTTTTTCATTTGGGATTATTCTGTTATTTTTTCAATTTTGTGAGCTTAATATGTAAATGGCTCTTAATTTTTCCCTTAAGTACCTTTTGTTGACTACATAAGTTTGAAATGTAGTGTCTTTAATTGCCATTCATTTCTTCATATTTTCTCATTCCATTTCGGTTGCTTTTTTGACCCCTAGATTTTTTTATAGGTGTAATTTAAAAATTTCAGTCTGTGTATATTGTTAGTATATGTATACATGTATTGTATAGCGTTTTCTTTTGTTCAGAATGCACTGTGGTTATACTGTGGTCTTAATAATAGAGATTCTATTATATTTAGGACTTACTTGGAAGCATAGTATATAGTCAGTTTTTGTAATAGTTGTATTTGAGTGTGGAAAAATGTAGTATCATCTCATTGTTCATACAGATTTCTCTTATCTTCTTGATAAGACATTAACTACATTTGTCAATAAAATCATTATTGTTTAACTAGTTTATTAGTAAGATGTGTTAAAATCTCTTAGTTGTTGACTTGATAATTTCTCTTGGTATTCCTATAAATTTTG